GAGCATGGGTTCAAGACATCCGTATACCGTAAACCGACATTCACCAGACAGTACCTCAATTTCAACTCTCACCATCCATACAGCATAAAGAAAGGGATTGTCCGCTGCTTGCAACACCAAGTCATAAGTGGCGACCCAGAGACATTAGATAAAGAAATGGTCAGTATAAGTAGTACACTACAACGTAACAACTACCCTGGGAACATGGCAGCAGCCTCCAAAAACTGGGATAGGCGGGTACAAGAGGAGGACAACAACACTCAGAAAACAGTCTGCCTGCCTTATGTGAAGGGGTTATCAGAGAAAATACAAAGGATCTGCGGTTCATATAACATCAGGACAATCTTTAAAAGCTGGACGATAATTTGCAGATATGTCTCCCAAATAAAACCTCCCCATAGAGAACATGACTAAAGATTGTGTGTATGCTATCCTGGGCAGCTGCAGAAAGAATATAAAGGGGGAGACAAGCTGCCCCCTTAAGGTAAGGCTTCAAGAACACCAGAAAGCTGTAACACAAGGGGAAATGAAAAAATCAGGCATGGCTGACCCCATATGGAGAGAGAAGGGAGATCACCACCCTCTGTGGGATCAGGTTGAGATCATAGTCAAGGAACACCATTGGAAAATTCATAAACTTAAGGAATCAGCACATATGCTAGGCCACAAAAGTCTCCTGAGCTGACCAAGTATAGAAATGAATACAATATGGGAACCAGTAATAAGGAGTGCCAGAGAAAAGCGATAATAAAAACAAAAGTTGCAATATGAGCTCTGGTAAAAACGGTTGCTGAAGACATTAGGTTTATAATACCCAGAAATTCATACACAGATGTCCTCAAGGACACATGGCACAGTGGATAAAGGCATTGATTATATCCAGTGACAGGATCTAACCAACGCCTTTATCCACTGTGCCAATAGTGACAGGACCCAAAGAGTGTTAGTTCAATACCCGGTTAAGGCAGTGGAGAACTTTCAGAGGGAAATTAGCAGGAGATAACTGACATCCATTAAACATGGAAACAATAAACAAAAACTAAAAATTCTTGAAGCTATATTCATAAAACAGTTGAAACCTAACCTGAACAAAATAAATTATGAAATATCCACAAATATTCTTAAATGCCTCTAATTTATAACAGAATCCATTGGTTTATACCAATGGCTTCCCATACTTAATACTTCTCGTTTTCACTCTAGTGTGGTCATGTGTGATATCATGAGCTGCGGTGCGATTTTCACTTCCAGCATCTCCAATGCATGACTTTGTTGTTGCTTGGAAATCTTCCATATAAGCATAAACAGACTATCATTATTGTTTTCTCCGTGTATTGTAATGTAATTGTCATCTTTGATAATGGCTTATGTAAGCCAAAAGCTTAGATAGGATTAAAAATATGTATCAATATTGTGATTTTCTTTCTTCTTTTAATGATAATGTTATTAAGTTTATCAGACAATATGAAAAGAATTTACATAAAATAAATAGACAAAACTTGTCTATATTATTTAATCAAACATGCATCTATCTATCTATATATACATAATATTAATGGTTAATACACACACACACACATATATATATATATATATATATATATATATATATATATAAGTTTCCAAGAGGATAGAATCCAGGTAGAACTCAATGTCCAGGACAGAGTAAATTTATACATTATTTTTATAGATACAAATATTTAAGTAAATTCTCCATTTATAATAAACAGTATGAACAACATTTACTGGCCTAAATGTCCAAGAAATTTCATAGAAAATATGTCCTCCAACAGGAATTGAACCTCTATCTTACACTGAATGGTCAGATAGTCTGATGTGCTATACCATTTAGCTACAGAGGAAGCATCTGGTTAGCAAGGTTGAATTACTGCTTTTAAACAACAAATTTGACCTTGCTAATCAGCACTTAGTCCATTTCATAATATATATATATATATATATATATATATATATATATATATATATATATATATATATATATATATATATATATATATATATGTGTGTGTGTGTGTGTGTGTGTGCGTGCATGCATGTATGTATGTATATATCTCCTCTAATTTGGTATGTGTAAAATTTAAAATAAATTTTTTTTTAAATGAAAAAAAACTTTCTTGAAGCTTTCATTAAAAGCTAAAGGATTTAAAATTTAATATTTCCAGTCAGCAAAATACTCTCTGGTGTATTTCAAGCAGAAATTACATTGAATGGAATAGTTTTTTTTTTTTCAGTAAAATCGATAAAAAATGAACATTTTGACAGATTTGTAAACAAAAGTTTATTCTTGCTTTCAAGAATCTTGCAAAAATAAAATATATATTCCTGAAACATTAATCAATTCATTGACAAGCTGATTGATCACCGAAAATGTTCATAAATAAGGTGGAGATGATGATAAAGTGGAGAGGGTCAACCCTTAAAACATGACCTTTTAATGATAAATTTATCGGTTTGTAAATCCATATTTCAGAAATTCTGCATGTATATACAGTACACATACAAAAAACAAGTTAAAAAAAATTCTTTTAAAAATATTTTGGGTTGTCACATTGTAATAGATTTTACAATAGTTTTTAACTTAACTGTTAACAGTATTTCAGAGTTATCACAAAAGATTTAAAAACTTTGTAAATTATTCAATTTAAAATTGTAAAAACAAACAAAAGAAAAGAAAAAGGAAACTAAACATCTTGTAAAAACTCTTTTCTTAGAAATCTTTTTTTCTTCAGATAGTCTTCATATTATTCATAAAAGCAATTAAAAGCTTTTAAATGTCTTAGTTTTATTGTGTGTGTGTGTGTGTGTGTGTTTTTTCGGTTCAGAACCAGATTTTTGGTAAGACAGGAGTCCGATTTTGCCAAAAATTAGGGGATAAATTCTTCAAAGAATTCTATTTTTAAGTTTAACTAATTAATCGCTAAAAATTATATTATCTCATTGAATTTCTCAAGTTTTCATAAAAAAAAATTAAGAGGTTGAAACACATGTTGAAAAAAAAAAAAAAAAAATTTACCAAGATTTTCTAATAAAAAAAAAAATTCCAAAAAATTTAATTCATTGTGAATAAGTCCTGAGAATTCCATTAAAATCCGAGAATTATTTGATTTTTGCAAGAATTTCCAAATTAATGTGTCTGTCAGCGAAAAAAATAAATAATTTTTTTTAAAAGCTCGTACAACCGCTGGCGCAAGAAAAACAAGTTTTTAATCAAAATTTTGAATGTTACTAAAAATGAATAAAAAATTTAATTAAATATTCAAAAAATACTTTCATCCTTCCTTAGTTTTAACAAAAATTTTGACGATAAAACTGTTTTCATTACGTTTTTGGAGCATGTTTTCCTCACGGAATGCTGATTTTTTAAAGTGATTTCGTGGAGATACCTATTAAATTACTTTCTTTAAAAAAGGAAACATTTCTAAAATAATTCCATTCGTTTGTGAATAAGTCTTGAAAGTTTCAGTAAAAATTAAAATTTGACAATTATTTGATTTTTGCAAGAATTTTCAAATTAATGGGTTTTTTCAACGCAAAAAGACGCTCAAATTTCATATGGTCACCCGTTGGCACAAGAAAAACAATTTTTAACCACAATTTCGAACGTTTCTAAGGATTTTAAAACATAATTAAAAAAAAAAAATCCTTTGGACTTTCCTCTAATTTTGACGATAAAACTGTTTTTATTAAGTATGGGTCAGTTTTTAATGCTCATTTTTGGCGCTATCTACAGTAAACAAAAAAGTCATAACATTTAGATAAATAATATAAACAAAAAATTAATAATCTTTAAGAAAATAATGACAATCTGTAGCTCAGGTTGCAATATTTTTCAGTAAAAGAAAACACACATGACTAACAATCAAATATTCAAATTTCTTAAAAAATCATAAAAAGTAAATAAATTTATTTCTGATATAGCAACATATTTAAAATTGAAAATATACCTATTATTAACAATAATTTAAGAAAATAAACTTTTCTTTCATTATACACACAAAAAAAAATTAAACTTGAAATAATTAGGTAACTACTGTTAACTAAAAAACACTAAAGAAAGTTAAACGGTTTAAAAAATTGACAAAAAGAACTTTATTAAGTCAATTAAATTTGCTTAATTTTAAATAATAATTCAATATGTTTCTTTTAAATCGATTTAAATTTTAAAAGTTGCTAAAATAAATAAATACTTCAGAAATCAAGGAAGTGCTCGGATATAGGTCAGCTCTGTCATGTTGATAAATAAAAAAACTTAGGGTAGATCAAGAGGTGTAATTATTATTATTAAACAATATTAATAAATTATTTTACTGACAGTGACCTTAAATTAAATATTCAAAGTTGGTAAATTAAATGTAAATGAATAAAACAATGAATATTATTATTATGTTTTCGAAAATCACTATCAGCTTAAATTTTGAAATTGAATGTAAAAAAAAAAATGTAAATAAACTTTAAGTCGAGGATTGGCTTCTTCAGGTACTTCGATAGATAAATTATAAATTTAACAATAAAATTATTATTAATTAAAATGTAATTCGTTTAACTTTCGAAGGTTAAAAAATGAAATAATACAAAAAAATAAACGAAATTGAAAAGCAACTTAGGTATTTTGCTAGATTATATTTTCTTAATTAAATTAGCTGAATTTTCTAAATTTCCAAATTAAACTAAGAAAATGCTGTCTTCAGGTACTCCGATGGATACTTTAATTTTATTATTTCATAAATAAAAAATCTAAATTAGCTCAATTTTTAAAGTTAGTAAAGAAATAAAGTCAAAAAAGGGAATTTGATTTCACTCAGGTACATTAATCAATAATGTTTATTTAAATTCGTTTAAATTTTAGAAGTTGGTGAATCACATAAAAACTTTATTGACTTCAGTGCAGGTCGTAAAAAAAAAAAAGAGATTCAACTTTCTAAATATTTTATTAAAATAAATTAATAAATATGTAGTTCATTTTTTTAAAATTAACTTACCTCTATTTTTTGTTGGCACACGACGATCCTTGGGCATTGGATTCTGCTAAATTGATAGATCGGTAAAAAAGGCAGAAAATTTCAGGTGCACTCGGTGAGAAAAGATCGCTAGCATTTGTAGGGAAGAGAAGCCCCCCCAAAAAAGAATTAGTATAATTCGGAAGAAGGTGCAAAGTGACACTTTCAGAGAATGTAACGTGCAGTCACCAAGGCACGGAACAGCTCTCTACCCACTTCCGGTTTCTTCTTCCTTTTCGGCTTTTATTATTGTTTAGCGTTCGGAAATGTTCGGTAAACTCCGGTGAAACGCATGGAAAACTGGTAAAAGAAAAAGAAAAATCAACTAAAAAAGAACCCCCCCCCCAAAAAAAAACAGAAAAGAAAAACAGTAAAAGAAAAATGCAATATAATTTCTCTTGGTCTTGGATACGAACAGTAATATATATTTTTAATAAAAAAAACTAAAATTGCAATTAATGAGGGAAGGCTATATGGATACAAAAAAAAAACGTTTTGGTAATAAGGAAAGAGAAAAATTGGGATCTTTTTGGTAATTATCATACGGAACATTCATTTGAATTTTGGTAAATTAAAAAAAATCTCGTTACCACTAAAAGATATTTTTTCTGTAATGAAAGCAAGAAATCGACACCCACTGTTTTAAAATATTTGCCAAAAATCAGGGAATTATCCGATTTAAATGAAATTTTCAGAACTTAGTAATTTTACTGACTAGGTTATTTTATTAAAAAAAAAAAAACTTTGGGGAAATATTCTTTGGGTGAATTTATTTACTCACCACTAAATTTGGCAGGTGTCCGTACAATTTTTTCACAAAAATAAATAGAAATCCCTGTTCAGTAAAAATTTGCGAAATCATGAATCAAGTGTGGACATAACGGAAAATTCGACCCGCATCTTGCCAAAAGTAAATAAACTCTTTTCTTTTTCTTTTTTTTTTCTTTTTTTTTTTGAGAATTGTTGCTTGCATATTTTAATAAAATATGTTATTTTAATTTCAAATTCGACAGCTAAACTTTAATACTTTTTTTAAAAATGCAATTTTGAAATTAATCTTATTGCTTTTCGTCACAAGAGTTTATGGTTGAAGACTTAATTTTCGAGTATGAACTTTTTAAAGAATATTTTATTATTTTGTTTTTAGCAACAGTCAGATTATTTTGCTATGGATGTACAGAAAGGAAATAATTCTAATATCTCGAGTTGACTGACTACTATTCAATATCGAAAGAGTAATCTAATTCTCCCGTTCAAGTCAGTAAAATACAATTATTCATTATACTAAGTTTAATAAAAGCGTATAAGAATAAAAAGTTATATTCTTAAGTTACTGATTATATAAAGAAAATTTAGTTGTAAACATAAATAACAAATTCTTGATTATTACACTGCTGGTCTTCTTTAGGTTTGATTTTTATTTTTTCCCGCGCTTTTTCGGATAGGATTAGAATTACAGTCTCTTAATCGTGTCCTTTGACCTCACAGGCTAGCGTGCATAAATAAAACGTTATTTTCATTCTGTTTTAAGTAAAATGTAAGCATTATTTTTAGTTTTAGAAAATCCAGTTAATTAATCCCTTAAATTTACTAATAAACTTCGAAATAGATCTCTAGGACAAATATTGGATTTTAAAGAGAATTTAAAATTTGATGTTTACATTTTTCGTATACAATGGCGACGCGATTAGTCGCTGAGTGAGGAAAAAAACGTACCAATGTTTTTAAAATACCTCAAAATTTTATTTATTCACGGCATTAATTTTTCTGGTCATACGGTTTAATTTTAGTTAGATCATTATCTCTCAAATAGAACCAAGATTTTAATTTCAAAGAAGCCAAAGTATTCGTGTTTTTCGGGTATTTTTAGAAAGTCCGTGGCGATACCTAAAAAAGAAAAAAAAAAACAACAGTTTCTCATTTGAATGGTTTTTATTTTTAGTTGAAAAAATACTGATGAGTACATTAAGGCAAATTCTTTATGTGTGTCAGGGAGATAGCTTCGGTAAATTATTTCCTAAATCAGTTTTTAATATTTCGAACAAAATTAATGAAGATTATTTAAAAGTGGGTTTTTCAGATTTTGGGGAAAATTTTCTGTGTAACTTCATGTAAGATTATCAAAATGAGCCAAACTGAAAAACAATAAAATTGTTAGTAAATGTGTTTGAGGAGACATTTTTGTTTTTAAGCAATTTTAAATGAGTTTTACCGGCCAGAGATTTTGGAGAGTCTTTATTAAAGTCTTCTTGCGTCTAGTCTAGTTGTACAAATCTTCATTAAAAGAGACATATCGGACGCTAGAAATTTAAACTTAAAGTTAAGCGTTCCTGTATCCTCAGCGTTCTCTCGAAGTAGGTAGAATAGTAACCGATGTTGTATTTTATTGCCTCCCCTTAGGGCATATATATATATATATATATATATATATATATATATATATATATATATATATATATATATATATATAGAGAGAGAGAGAGAGAGAGAGAGAGAGGATTCCATTGATAAAAACATTATTTTGTGTGAAGAAGTCCTTTTTCCCATTCAAGTAGCCGGCATTAGTCTGATAGATAGGGTTTGTATAAAAAAGTAATACACACACGCACACACACACACACACACATATAATTATCTTAAAAGCCGGTCTGTTGTGCGGCATTTACGCTAGCTCCTGTAGAGAACTCTTGGTTAGGCCTTCATCACAATAGGTAGGGAGGAGTAGATGCGATAGGCATCAATTAACTACAGAAGAATTCAAAATTGATCAATGTATTTAATTTTTGCCTTAATGCTTAACTTTTAAAAGTTCAATGATAATTCTTCTGTCGGCACTTAGTTTAAAGACGATTTGATGTACGTAGATCCTTATTTTCCGTACAAACAATTATTTTTATTTCATGGGTGACTTTCGTTGGATTTTGCAATTAATTTTGATTATTCCCAAATTTATTTTCAAGTTATAAAAGTTGTTATCGTACAAAAATTTCGTTGCAAAAAATCACGTAAAAAAAAAATCACCGAAAACAATCGCAGTATTAAAAACTTGGGAATCCAGAATTTCGGATTGTGGGTCCGGATCTAACCGGAATGTTTTTAATTTGCTTGCGGAGCCAGCCTGATTCCAAAATAGTATGATATGTTGGGCTATGGCCTCTAGGAGTAAAGTTGAAAACGTGTCACACATTGACACACTGACATTCTCATTTATAATATATATATATACATACATACATACATACATATATATATATATATATATATATATATATATATATATATATATATATATATATATATTAGAAAAAGGGCCCACGTATGCTTCATATAGTTTATAAACTGGCCAATAAAACAAAGTCAAATGAAAGGGTGCAGATGAAATCAGTATGTAACCGGGTGACAAAAATGAAGTTCGGAGATTGAGGTTCCAAGTTTGGAATAACCTAAGATTTTAAAAATTTGATTGGTAGTGGGTGTTACGGGAGTGAAATATTGAACTTAGGGGGAAAACTGTTGTAGAACCAGGGGTTGGAGCAGTATTAGTGTTGAAAGATTTCGTTTTTGTGAGTTAGCATCAGTGTGGGAACATAGCGAGATTGTCAATAAGAGTAAAAATAAAATGAAAGAAAGAAAAGAAAGAGAGAGAGGGGGGGGAGAGAGAGGCAGAGAGAGAGGAAAGAAATAGCACAAAAAGGGATAAAATTCTTTTAGGAAAATCATTGTTAGACAATGGGGTGGGAGGCGGATAAATAAACTGAAAAAAATAAACCAAAAAATAATACTAAAAGTAAAGATAATGATAATATGAAAATGGGAAGTGAAAAAAAAAACATACAAAAATAGATGTGTTGTGTATCGAACAATTCCACCTACAAGCGGATTCTGCCCACCTCTAAAAACTAATGTTGGATAGTTTCCACCGTCCCTCTGTTTATTTCTCGCATCCGCTGAGGAAGAACACAGGCGTGTTCGAAAATTCCGAAATTGAAACATCAATATCCGTGCTTCATTTTTGTCACTTGGTTAATGTTAATAAATATTTTTCGTACTGATTTCATCGGTACCCTTTCGTTTGACTTTGTTTTATTGACCAACCTATCTACTTTACTTTGTATATATATATGTGTGTGTGTGCGTCTATGTCTGTGTGTATGTGTGTGTGCGCGTGCGTGTGTGTGTGTGTGTAAAAATTTCAGATATTGTTAAAATATATTTGTAAAAGAATGAATAAAGAAAGAAGGAAAACTTATCTTATCGGACGTGTTTCGTCCTCTGACAGATTTCGTGTGAGACAAATGTGAGGATTTTATTTTCCAAGTATTTATCAACAAAAGTAAAAATGTTATTAGTTTTTCAAAATTTTAAATTCAAGAAACGCTCATTTAACCTAATGAATATTTATGAGCGTCTCTTAAAGTTAACAATTTTGAAAAACTAATAACATTCTTATTTTTGTTTCTAAATACTTGTTGCGAAATAAAATCCTCAAATTTGCATTTCAAAGTCCGTCAGATAAGATAATAAACCTTTTTGTAATTGTTCGAACCACTCGTCAGGAGGTTTCAGAATGTGTGTGTGTGTGAGAGAGAGAGAGAGAGAGAGAGAGAGAGAGAGAGAGAGAGTGAAAGGGGGTGAAGGAGAGAAGAGAGAGATTTTAATATTTAACGAGCTACCTAGATATTAAGAAGATTCGACAAAAAGTATATTTTAATTGATGTCATTTGTAGAGTACAGGAGATTCGATACTTTTACTGGCAAATGTTATAAAATATGTTGCTTTCAAATTGATAAGTTCGAGATAAATATAGAAAACAATTTAAAACAAATATATTTTGATGTCTGTCCAATCCTGTGGTATCAATAATATCCGGTTGGTTCGAGTTATATATTTTTAATCCTGCAAACAATGCTGTTTGTTCGAACCTGGAAGTCATACAATAATGAAATATCGCGTTACCTAGCCATTTACACGCATTATCGTTCGTTCTCTCTCTCTCTCTCTCTCTCTCTTGTTTTCGT